AAAAATTAAATCTGTATTATTGCGTGATTGAAATGAAAAACAAAATATTATAACATATTACTGGATAACACAGAACGTTGCATGAAACGAATTTTTAGGAATCAAAATTATGCATACTTTTGAAGGCACTCTCATGAATATTTGACACGTCATTTTAAAAAGACAACAACTGTTTATTAACAAATGTTTAATAAATATTTCTATTTATGTTAGATATTGTGTTTATCTTATTTATAAACATTTTAAACATATAAACGGTCGTATATCGTTTTATACGACGACAGAAAGTTTGAATTTTTTTGTCATATTTATGCGAGCCCGTATTATTGGGGTTCTCTACTGTATCTATATATTTCTTCTTGTTTCTTTATTTTTGTAAACTTTGAACAGAAGGAAAAATAAAGTAATACGATCGTATGCACTATCGAGTCCTTGATCAAAAGGAGAAAAGTTTGAAGACGACAGCCAAGGAAACGTCTCTTGTCTCGTCTCGACGAGATAAGCGATGCATCGTCTTCCCGATTCGCTACGTTTCTTTGAAGACGCGTTCAGATGAGCCAGACGATTCAACCTTGGTGACAGACTCACTCTCCGATTACTCGGTATTCTTACGCGAGAACAAATCTTATATTTCATTTTGTACCATCCCTTTTTTTTTTTTATAAAACACTCGTACTAACGATATTATGCGAAATAATTTCAAATTAAAGTCAAGTCGTAAACGTAATCGTCGAAAAATTGTTTAATTTTGTAAAGGTTTGTATTGGAGAACATATTTTGTATTAAGAGCAGATTTTTTTAACAATCCTCTAAAAGATACTTAATAATAAAATTGTAAATATTCATTACAATTTTTTATATAAAAAATAAATTTGAAATACATAATTGCAATATTTTGAATAAACTTCAACTGTGTAGTCATTTTTAGTACTTGCCCACTTTTGTCCCTGATTCTATATAATTTATACCATATAATAATAATATTTCTAATTTACATCTACAATTTTAATTATATATTAAAATTATTAATCAGTTATTATATAATCTATTATTAATATAACTAATATTCGCGATGCATTCGTGTGTGTACGTATGTGAATAATTGTTATCTTATAAATTATAGTTGAACTAGTAAGAATAATTAATTACCATATGGTAATGTTTCCTTTCTCTCTCCTGACGTACAAATCCGACACGTGTAAACGCTCGTGTAATCGGTGCGTATCAGTAGCGATAACGTGAGCTGCATAACATTCTTCTAATCTGTATTACTAGAATGAGAATCAACGTTCTGTAAATTTATAAAGGTGTGGCATAGAAGAAAATACACACTTCTTCTTCGGAATAATAAAACGAAACGAGAGACTCGAATTTCTTTTTTCTAACATAAGTGCAAGAAAAATCGAATATTTTCAATGTTAAGAAGGATTTAAAAAAAAGAATTCAAAATAATTCATGGCCTTTTTAATCGAAAAAAGTTATATGGTTTCCTATGATAGCGTAACTTTTAGTCGTTTAAATGTCAAATCCCATAGCATGGGATTTGTCACCCTACAAAGTCATAAATACTTCAGATCGTTGTCTGCTATTCATCTCTTTGATTTTTTATTCCTTTCTCACTCCCTTACTTTCTTATTCTGAAAATGATGAATTACATTTGTCGATACCCAGATTCCAGGAATTAACCCTTCGAACAATTCAAGTAAAATGAAGGGATTTACGATTTAAAGTTTCGGTAAAAAAAAAACGGGAACAAAAAAATATTAATGATTCTCAAAATGTGTATTTTTAACTGTAAATCTTCAGGTCCGATTCTTCTTTATCCATAAATTGAAATGTATTTATGTATGTACGTATTTATGTATGCATTTGTATTAACGATAAAGGGACAAGGGAATATTTTAAATCGGACATCTCAAAAAACATCAGACATTTTAAGGTATAAAAAAAAATTATGGTCAGAGATAGTTTTTTCTGTTTTAGACAAATCCCACGATTTTTTGACCTTACGGTTAGACCGGAAATAGGTACATACCGATAGTTCTGTATACATTATTCTGGCATTGTTATCTGACTTATTGCTGCTGCTGCTCCTCCTAATGGTACCCCGAAATATATGTTTGAATAGAAAAAAACAATATGTTAATCTTGTCACAAGAAGATTGATACATATATGTGTGTACATATAATTCTACTAAAATACAAAATTATTATTAAATAAAACTTTTTTAAAATTTTGAAATTAAAATAACAAATTAAATTTAAATTATTTCAAGAAAAAGAACAGATTCAAATGTCTCGGAAAACTATTTCGTAAGAAAACCCTCGATAATAAGAAAAAAATAAAAAATAAAGAAACTCGTCAAATATCAAAATGCTGATAGCGTTTTATTTTATTTTATAATCACTGCTTTGAAAAATTTGTAACAAAATTCTCGCCCCTAAAGTTAAGAAAGAAAGAACCATTAAAGAAAGAAAACCGAGACTCATTTCCTAAATCACATTCGATTTATGCATTTTCATTTGAGTAGCTGGGAAAAGAAAGAACCCTATTGTCTAGTTTCTACACAATGCAACAACACATATTTTTTTTCTATTGTTTTTTCGGACGGGTCATCCATCCACGTTAATAACCGTTTCCACGTTGCTTGAACCTATGGGATACTATATGGGGAACAGCAGCAATGAATCATAGAACAAAGCTAGAATCAATAGAATCAAATATACTAAGAACAATAGTCGACGAACCATAGTTCATACGAAATGAAGATATACAAAAAGATTTAAGATTAAGGATAGTAATGAACGAAATAAAAAATTTCACGACAAAATATAAAGTGAGAACCGTAGTACACCCCAACCAACTAGTCATAGAAACGTACACTACTCACATTAGAAAAAAAAACTAAATAGGAAACATTCGTCTGACTGATATACATAAAAATTGTAAAAACTATAACACCTAAAGATAGTAATTACCATCCACACATATTATTTAAACTGAACAAATAAAGAAATTTATTTTAATGTCCGCGGACAAATTGTAAAGAAGAAAATGAATATAAATAAAAAGAAAAACGTTGCTTGACTTTAATGATCGGCAATGAATTTAGTGGGCAATTGATTAAAATTGAGAATATTAGTAAAATATTTTATATCGAAAGAATAAATTACAAACAAAAAAAAATAATTAAAAATAAATATAATAATAATAATAAAAAAAGATAGAAAATTACGTGACACGATAATAAAATCATGATAATTCTCCATTATCTCTTGTTATTCGCATCTAAAAATCCGCGGATAACATCGTTGAGGAGTTATTCTAGAAATATGAGAATGATGATTAATTATTAATGCGTCGCATTTCTGTAACATTTAGTTACTGTAGCGATGAGATTTAACACTGAAATTAAATCAAATCCGTCGAAATGACGGATCTTAAATTACCTTTCTTTTTTTTTAATTAGAATGATCGGAGCTAATTTTGTTTTTACTTTAATCAAATTTAAAATAACAGATGAAATTTCTGTGTATGTGTTTTTTTTTAGAATATATCTCAAAATAATTAAAATAGATTTATTTTAGTGTGTTAAATGACAATTTATTATCTTTCTCTCTCTCTCTCTTTTTTTTCTCTTTGAACGTCAAAAACGAATCGGAAAAAGAATCTTTCGACGAAATTTTTTCGTTTTTCAGTTAATAAATTGAAATAGTATTTCGAGACCACGAAACTTGTTTTATGTTAGATACGTATAAATATAGAATTCAGTATCTCTCTGTTTCTCTTGAAAATGAGTTCTCTCTTACGAATTCTAAATATCGTTCGTTTTAAAGTAAAGCCCTGCCAAAATCTTTGCATGAAAAACTACTTGTTTTCTTGTCGTCAATTTTTATCTACTAGTCTTTCGTAGAAAAGCAAAAAAGCTATGGATAGTATGTAAACTGTTATTATGAGATATAAATCGTTTATTATTTTTAGAAAATGATTTATTATGCCACATTTATTAACTTACGTTTCTCTTTATATATTCGAAGTGAATTATTTTTGTTTTTTCTTTATTTAATACAATTTTATTATGTAATATAATTTCATTATATTAAATAAAAAAAAAACACCAATAAGTGACACCTGATACATTCTCATACACTATAATAATTCATAGAGAAATGGTAAAATCGTTTCAATTGGTCTATGGATTTATATTCCTTGGAAATTATTCTAGATAAAAATAAAAATAACTAACTTTGATAATAGTATTTAACAATGTAAAAAATTTAAAAAAAATTACAACCTTGACTAAGTAATAAAATTGTTTATTACTTTGTTTTTTTGCTTTAAATCATAGATTCTCAATTTTTAAACTTTTTGTAAATCAATAAAACTTATCAACTACACTAATGTTATCCGTGGATTATCGTTTGAGAAGCACTGTATTAAATGTCTCTTCGTATTCGTAGTACAAATGTTATTCGACAACGTCTTATTACGCCACTGTCACGTGAACATTTGTGTTAAGGTGAAACTATGATGACGATGAAACTTACCAATCGAAAGTTTGACTAGTTTGACTAGTTTTACTAGTTTTGTAATCAAACGACAATAAGAAGAAATAAATTCCGAAGATGTTCGTTTAACTTTCTGAACCTTTAAACAATTGAAATTAATTCGTATAACAATTAATAGCATTCGTTGATTTGTACAATTGTTTGTATGTCTGTCTGTCTGTCTGTCTGTAAAAACAATTTAATCGTCGTTTATCATGAGGATGATAATTTAAATAAAAAAAAACAAAAATATATCGACATTGGTTATTAAAATACAAATGGAATGTAGTATCACGTGGAATGTAAAATTTTTGATCAATGAAACAAACGTGACAGATTGAACAAAAGCCCAAGGAACGACTCGTATTTCCTTGAGTACGTATGACCCCCACCTCTTATAATTATCTAAACGAGATAACATTGAACAAAACGAGGTATCAGAGACTCCAATCTTCAGTGGTCTTTTAAACGATTTATCTCTCAGACATATAAGAATTGGTGTATCAAAGTATAGTGATTGTGCGTTACGATCGATATATTATACAATAAGATTCTAATTTTCAACGATAAAGTCAACTCTTTCTTGAATATTTTTTTTTTTCTTTCAAAATGTCGACTTCGGTGACGATCGTTGCGTAACATTGTACCAAGGTTTTATACCTTTTCTTTTTCGTATCAAACAAAACAATAAAATTTACACGCGAAAGAATACCGTGCACATTTGGAGTAATTTTAAGAAGAAGAGAAGATAAAAATAAAAACAAAAACGGAGAAAAATAAATCAAAAGTGTTGATATAAAAAGAAGAAGAAGAAGAAGAAACAGAAAAAGATCTAATTTTAGTGATACGAAATAAATGGTGTACCATATAAAAGTGTATGAGAACTATCGTAATAGAGATCAATATTATTGGAAATTTTCATCGTTCGTTCTCTCTCGTTCGTATTTATTAATGATTATTTATTACGTAAAATATAAGTTATTCAATCATCATCTTATTGTTAGATGATTACTATAACATTCGTGGAATTTAATCGACATCTGCCTTCTATAAAGAAAAGAGAGAGAAAGAGAGAGAGAGAAACAAAAATTATTCTTTAATTAAGAATAAGAGACGGGAGAATATTATTTTTCTTCATTAATTCTTCTTCTGCATTATTATCGAAATATGCCTGGAATCGTAAACACGATTTTTGAAGAGGTAATTTTTCATATTTTTTTATTCTCTTTTTATAAGTTAGATTATCAACGCGTCCTTCAAAATTTGTCGATAAACTTTTTCAACATAATTCTCTTTGCGTTATCGTAAATACTTCTTTTTTGAATATGTATATATATATATCAATTTTAATTCATGTTTCGAATTTTTTATATAGAGTAACGAGGTAGAGAATCTAGAAAATGGCAGCAAAAATATGAAACCTTGCGAGAAAGAAGAGGTAAGTACGATAATATGTGCTTTTATTTTCCCAACATCGTTCGAATATGCGTGTATACTAATATCGATTATAATCTTTGTTCAATATCGAGAGTTTACAATACACGTTTTATTCTTGTACTCGAAAAGAATGATTTGCATAATACAATTATATGTAAAATGTTTATGAACAAATGTCAAAATAAAATCGTAAAACAGTTTTACGAGTAAAATCGGAGATTCAATTTTTACAGTGGGTAGAAAAAAATATTTATTCACTTTATTTTGAATAATTCTCAAGTAATAATAGCAGGAACGTTGATATACAAATACTTTTTTTTACCCCCATTGTATTTCTAAAAATATTTTAAAAATGTTTGTAATTATTTCTTCATTCAAAAAAACTGGTAAAAAATTCCATTAGCTTATATACACACCCATACAAATTTATATTGCTCTCTATTATCTTTATCGAAACTTAAGCAACATTCTGATATTTCACAATGATAAAATACTTAGAAGATTTGTCTTGTTAAATCTGTATAATAAAAAAAGTGTCTTTAATAGATTACATAAAATTCTCTCGGTCTATCTCTATCCTATACAGGAGGACAATGAATCCCGAAAGAAATTTGACTTACTCGTGATGATGCGTAATGCCATGGAGGCGTACTTTTCAAAACATCGAAGAATCTTCAAGTTTCTAGGCTTGATACTGTTAAATAGTCTCGTAGTGGTCTACTTTGTCTTTGCCACCAACTATTGGGTCAAAACCAAAGAATGTATGACACTAAACGTATTTCCGATCATCAACGGAATAATAATCCATTCATATTAATAAACCATTTTCCTACAAAAATTTGCAATCAAATGAAATTAATCATTCGTCTGATACAAATTCGTTTGTTTTTATTTTTTAGCAAACGATTGTGGTTATTGTTGGTGTACCGGTTATGGAATGCTCTTGTTACTCCTGTGTTTTATTTATGGCGGATTATTTTATTACTTGATAGTTAAACGATATTTTGGCAAATTTATTCTCCCCTTATTCCGACCGGTTGAAAGAGGCATAACAAGACTGCAGAAAACAAGGTAACACGAGGATAAATCTTTGATTTTATTTCTCTTTCCTTAATATCTTTGTGTTGACACAATAAACCATAGGAAAACTTCAGATCATACTTGGATTTTTCAATTAATCGTTGTCACATATATGTCGATTATGATATGACAGTTAATTGATGTAAGTTAAAAAATAGAAAAAATATTCATTTATTTTATATTACAATTATATTTAAATTAAAAAATAAATCATAAGATCAATTTTTTTCAATTTGTTGACTTGAACGACTGTCATATTTATCGGCAAATGTGTGTAACATCGAATTTTCAAAGCTGAAATCACAGACACACGTGTCAATGGTAACGAATGTGTTCAAAAAACAAAACAAAGAAAAGAATTCAATCAAAATAATGCGATTTATCATAGGTTCGGATCTCGGATATTCGGAACAGTGATATACGTGATAATACTCATAGCCATCGTTGTTTTTCTCATCTTCGATACGATACATTCGACGGAAAGACTGATCAGTGGCCTTGGTGTTATAGTTCTATTGCTTTTAGGATGGCTATTCTCAAAACATCCGGCTCACGTAAATAAACCGTTCAAAATTAAAATACTTTTAGTGATAGAAATTAATTGAAAAATGTCTCCTCGTTTACATAGATCAATTGGAGGCCAGTTTTGTCCGGCATGATAATGCAATTTTTATTTGGTTTATTGACCATTCGTTGGACCGTTGGCCGAGCTATTTTTGAATGCATTTCGAATAAAATTACTACTTTTATGAATTATTCGAAAGAAGGTGATGCATTTATTTTCTCAGAGGAACTCGTCGAAAAAGGAATCTTTGCTTTTTCAGTTAGTTTTCATTGAATATTTTGTATGATATCTATTTTTTTGAATCCTCGTACGAATTATTATGTGGATATTTAAATTTTCTTTAAGGTTCTTCCGGTTATCTTTTTCTTCAGTTCTTTTATTCAAATACTATATTACATTGGAGTGATGGGGTGGGTAGTTATGAAATTTGGATGGGGTTTACAATTTATCATGGGAACTACTATATGCGAATCTTTGAACAGCGCAGCGAATACGTTCATTGGAATGGTATTATCTTTTGCTTCAATATTTTAACAACAAATGTCACGTCGATGTTATTATTTAATCATTGATTTTTTCTAGACGGAATCCCTTTTATTGATAAAACCGTATGTAAGTAAACTGACCTCTTCGGAAATTCATGCTATTATGTGTGCTGGCTTAGCCTCGGTTTCGGGTAAATCAAATGTTAAAAACAAAAACAACAAAATAATAATTTTCTTTTCTAAAGAATACATTTAATAGACTTTTTATTTGATTTCTCATAGGTAGTGTTTTTGCCGCGTACGTCAATTTTGGTGCTGATCCGGCGCATTTGTTGATAGCATCGGTAATGTCAGCTCCGGCTGCACTCTGTTATGCTAAATTATTTTATCCCGAAACGCAGAAAAGTCTGACCAATTTGGACAACATTCAATTGGAAAAATCGTAAGATCGAAATTTAATTAAATACCATTTCAATGTCGTAATCGTCGATGTTAATGTATAAAAAACAGGAAATCATTTTTAGAGATGACTCGGGAATTATGGAAGCTGCGAGTAACGGAGCACTGGCAGCAATTCCTATAATACTTGGTATAATAGCTAATATGATAGCTTTTATATCTGTCGTAGCCTTCATCAATGGTTTCCTCTTCTGGTTGGGTGAACTTTTGGGATTTTCTAATTGGACGTTTGAGGTAATGAGAAAATATTTTAAAATATTGTCTCATATTGTTGTTTATACAAGGAATGATTAAACGCATTTTGTTTTTTAGTATTTCTTATCAAAGATATTTATGCCATTAAGTTGGATCATGGGTGTACCATGGAATGACTGTGAAAAAGTTGGATATTTAATAGGATTGAAGACTGTCGTTAATGAATTCATCGCTTATAAAGAACTTGGAAAATACAAAAAATTAAGTGAAATTTCAAAAAGATCGGAAACGATCGCGACCTATGCCATTTGTGGATTTTCTAATCCCGCAGCAGTCGGTATCATGATGGGTGCTTTATGCAGTATAGCACCAAATAAAAAAAAACAGATCGCTCCTGTTGCCATCAGAGCATTCCTCTCTGGTAGTGCCGTTTGTTTTCTCACAGCATCGGTTGCCGGTAAAAAAACTTTGTTATGATAATTATTGTATCGTTTTATTGTGTTATTTGTATTTATTTATTTATCTTTTAGATATACCAAATGAACAATAGTTTCATACTTATTAGTTCAATTTAATTATTGCACTTATTTCACAATAATTATATTCCCTTTTTAATACTTATTTGTATATATATTATCTCTTTCTTAGGTATGCTGATAGAGGATAATAGTTTACCTCATGCGAACGCGAACGATGTGATCTCAAATTATACTCTTGAATATTAAGAAGAAATCTTCTTATGCGACTTAAAGATAGGCCAAATTATTTTGTCATTTATTCCCTCCAATTAAAAGAAGGATATTGTAAATAACTTTTGGAAACATTTATAAATGAAAAACGACAGCGCAATAATGTGATGCATTTACCATATACATTTTTGTCCATAGAGAAAATACTGTTGTATAAATGTGTATGTATGTTCATTCATTTTATAAATACTATACATGACGTAATTACTTAAAAGATAGAATTCATTCAAGTGTTTCCCCTGTTATCAAAATGCATTTAAGGAATGTTCTATTCTTTCGAAGTAAGATATACCATAGTTTAAAAAAGACGTCCGCAGGGTGTAATGCCCGTTTGTACATTTTCAGTAAATATAATTATAAATTCTATATATAGCGTAAATATCACACAAAAAGAACGTGCTTGTATATAGTGCTCTATGCGTTCTTTCACGTACAAGGTAATTTAATACCTCTACTTTAAAGTATTATTTGTTAACTCCCTTGAATAATTTAAAATAACCAAACAAATAGACGCTAATCGATTATAAAAATTAAATCATTTGAAAAATAATCTTTGAAAATCTATTATACAAATTTCGTACTATAAAAAAAAATTGTTTGAATAAATAAAAACTATCCTCGTATCACGAATAATTATGCTGGCAATTATTAGCGACATAGCCGGAGAAACAGCCTGTTACAATAGCTCGATAACTACTGATCACTTATTATAAATGTTAATACGTGCTTAAACTTCGTGAATTCGACTAAAATTGATGAAAGCTGATATAAAGACATCCATGTAATCGCAATACCTTACTTTTTTTATGGTAAGGTGTGCAGTTGATGCAGTTCGTACAAATTATGAGTACGATTGAATACGTCAGCAGTGACTTCAAGCATTTTTGGTAGAATATCTATATTTCGCTGTACATTGGCACCGCAAACCTGTTCGTTGTTAGTAGAGATTTTTTCACTTATTATCAAATATAAATATATAAGAATAAGATGATCTATATATTATATTTCATACCTTTTTAAATAATAGTTCTCTAGTAGGCATAGTATACATTGCTACTATTGCAGCTTTGCGTATTACCCATGGATGGTGCTTCGCTAAGGTTTGGTTGTATGCATCTTTGCAGCATGTAGATGTTTTATCGGTGTCGCTTAACTCCCCCAGTTGTCGTAGAAATTCTCTTATAAAATCTAAAAGCATAAGATATTAACAATTAGATAACATTGAATGCACAATAGATATCAGCACAGCGAATATTATTCTTCTTATCATTATAACATACCTAAGCCTCTATGAAGTCGCAGCAAAGTACGCGCTCCATTAACGGTATCTGATTTCTCTATGAGTTTATTTTCCTTTTCGTGCTCTATCATGGACTTAATGGTAATATAATTCTGATCATTTTTATTTGTTAAGTCAACGAGAATATCAATCTTTTGTTTCAAATCAGAAGAAACAAAACTGAATACACTGCCCATAAGTTGGAAAAATCTACAGACATACATAAATGTACATATGTTTAACAGGTTATGTTTACTAAAATAAGCGAATAAAAGAATATAAACGTAATTAAATAGAAATACTTACTTGTATAACTCATTATAGGCATCCAAATATGCTTTAATATCAACATCGTCGTCTTGCACTAGAGCTTTATCAAAATTATCATGTACAATCCTTAGATCGAAGTAACACAACTCCGAACCTTCCGCCATTTTTTTAATTTAATGCATTGGACGTTGACCGATAAATACGTGGAACATTAAATCACGTTATCTTTTTTTCTTTAACATAATAAAAGCAAATCTTTGATCACTTTTTATTCACTCGTGACAATGACTTATACATCTGTCGTCTAAAGCCTTTCTGCGTGACACATGCTCCCAGAATGCACTTAAAATGGCGCGAAATTCAAGTGACGATAAAGTTTGAATTATTGCCTGATATATTCACAGATTTCTAAATAATTGATAAAAATATACTTGATAATAATTAAAATAAATAACATTTTTAAATAAGATAACAAGAGATCTAATTTGTGTTATTTTGTAAACTATAAAACATTATATATATATATACATATATTCTAAATAATAATTATTGATCTTGCTAATATTCGGTGGATGCGATCCATGAATGCACACCATATACTAATCATTTAAAACTTGTGTAAATCAATTTAATAAATGATTATTATTTAAAATTCAGTAGCACGAATGCATCTGATTACCTGTGGCTTACATTCACCTTCCTTTTTATATTTTTCGAATGGAAACGAATCGACCCATGGTGTGTAGAACATTTTTTTCTCATAATGATTTCTGAAAGATGTTTAACAAAATTTTGCTGTTTTAAATTTAGGACATTCTGTATAAATGACATATACGTCATATGCGATACATCCTGTATATGATACATATATTATATGTTAATATAGATCTCTGTATTGTCATAAAAATCCATATTATCTTAGTGTGACGTTGTGAAATCTAAAGAAAGAATAGTGAAATCTCGAGGCTGACACATCGGTGCGCATTGGTAAGCGGTGTCCCTGGGGGCGTTAAATAATTCACCGCAGCTGGGACCGGGGGTTGGATGAGAGTCGGAGGTTGTGCGAAGGAGGTGGAGGTTGAAGGACCGATCAAATATTCACATGTCCCTCAACGCGAATAGAGCTAACATAAGCCAAGCCAAGCCAAGCCAAGCCAAGCCAAGCAAAGCCAAGTTGCGTCGAGAGTCAAGAAATATAACCTACAGAAAAAGAAAGAGAGAGGAAAGAAGTAAAAACGCTTGGTAAAGAAGAGAACTGCATTCGCCTATCGCCTCCAACCATCGCCGACCAACTTCGACCTTGTTTCTCTCCGACGAAAATTTTGTCACGAGATAAGTTAACGTCGAGTAACCAGAATGGCATACACGTCGGACACGTCTTTTTTACGTAGGCAGACACATTTTTGTTGAAGTGATCTCATGGGGACAGAGTTCAACGACCAATCACGCGTAGAACTTAACTGTGGCACATAAAAATGTGTCGCTTGGGTGCCGTAATAACACTCATCTAGAATTATCGATAAGAATAGAATTCGATTTGTATTTCTCATAAGTATTACACACACATACGTACACATTTTATATAACTTATTGACTCTTATCTACCTTATCATTTTATTTCCCTTTCTCTCTTTTTTACAGTGAAAATAAAACAACAGAAAACCTCCCGAAAATATCGAACTTGGTCGAGTCGAAGATAACGAACGGTATTATCTCACGTTACATTGTAATTCCATCGTTGGTACCCTTTCTTTTTTATCCCGTTTCATCGTTTTTCCCCTTCTTCTTCTTCTTCAGCCCTATTCTCACGTCTTTTAAAAGGGAAGTCGATATTCGAACAAGAGGAAAAGTAAAAGACGATTCCAAGTTGGGGGAGAAAAAGATCGTGACAAAGAATTGGTCAACGAGGCGTGCTTGTCTTCTAATCATTATTCTAATTATCTTGGAAACCCAATCCACGAGGCACGTCAAGGTGAAGCCTTGGCTTCCTGCTGTTCGATTTCCTCTTAAACTTATTTCTCTCCCTTTCCCCCTTTCTCTCTCTCTCTCTCTCTCTCTTCAACTTTCTCGAACATGCCAGGCAAGTTTCTTCCCCTTTCCCTACTTTAACTACTGTGCCTCTATTTCCGTCACTATTTCACTATTTCTACTATCTTCATCTCTGTCACTTGCTTCTATTATTCCTACAATTTTCTTCCCTCTCTTTCTCCATCTCCGTCTCATTCTATCTCTTCATGTCTCACTAACACATCATCAAACTCTCTCGGAGTCAATTCTATTTCTCCAGTCTCTTCCTCTTTTCTTCCGAAACGACGTCTAACTGTGGGATTGTCGACGACCGCCCATCTAAGTTTAACAATTAACGACCAACTTCGGAAAAATAAATTAATTCCAGGCTTGCTATACGCTAGCGTCACGAACACTCTCTTCTTCTTATTACTCTGTTAAGAGACGATCAACGATTTTCTATCATTTCTTTTCTTTCTTTGACATCATCAACAAAATATCAACAATTTATTTTACGGTTCGTACAATTTTTTTTTTTTATAAACACGAGATATTTTATAATCCTTCGTTCAATCTTTGTGCAGAAAATCGTTTAGAGAATATGATTCGATATTTACAATGTAAAATATAGGTGCACGATTTATGTGCTGGAATGATCCCTGATTCCCAGAGTCCTGCCGTTATTCATTTATTACAATTTGTTAATTTTATGTAAAAAGAAAAAAGTGTATATAGATATATCGAATTTTATTTAAAATCAATAAAATCAATGTGTTATAAGAAGTTACGAATAATATAAATGAGACTATGAGCAATTTTATCCTATTTACGATTGGAGATTAACAAATCACAATTGGGTAACAAAAATATTGCAAAATTTATATTTGTAAGAAAAAAAAAAATAGAAAAGAAAATAGGAAGGAGGTCGCGGTATCCCGAACGACATTTTCATCCCTCCTTTACTTTCCACCCTTCTTTCCTTCCTTTACCTTCTTTCCTTTTGTCCCGTTTGTCAGAAGTTGACAGCTTCGACGAGGAGGGTATTTGTCATACGTCGATAGGCGTCAGAATTGACACACTCGGCAAGTGTGCGAAACGGAAGTGGCATTGGGGCGTCAGAGTTGTCGTCGTTGTCGTCGTCTTCGTCGTCGTCTTCGTCGTCGTTTTCGTCGTTGTCGAGCAAAGTAACAGAGGGTCTGAGGGGATGCTAGCGGATAAATATTTGAGGAATTTGTCGTCGCGGAAGAACGCGCCCGTTCGGAGACCTATCGTTTGTTTGGCTGCAAGCTATAGTAAAAAGGATTTCAGTCAATTGGATGTTGTTGCTGGTGGTAGTAGTAAATAGTAGCGAGGAGAAGGGGAGAGGAACCGGATGACTAAATCGAAGGAAACAAAATCATAAATAGGACCGGCGAAGCGAATATTTTCCTTTTTAGGGTGCTTTGCTATTTTGTATAAACACATTTCTTTTTAATTCTCTTTCCCTTTATATATTTTCTTTTTTTTTTTCTTTTTTGAGAAAGGACTATAATATATTAATGTAATGAATTTGACAAATTAACACTTCTACAAGATTTTATTTGATGTATCATCGTTGTATCAATATCATTTGTACGACGACATTCGCGTTTCTATGTAAAAAAAATTAAATATTATATTAATTTAAACAAAATATTATAATATATATTAGTTCGATAATATGTGAACGTGTTACTGGTAATATTACTTAATTAGTTAAGAAATGTATGGTTACATTAAAAATTATTTGTCATTACAGACGAGGGTATTGGTACGCAGGCTTGAGCATAATGATAGGAGAAATTGAATTGTCGTCGTCCATAGTGAAAAAAAGAGGAGATACCTGGGATAAATTAGGATCACTTATCGGTAGAAAAATTTTTTTTCCCCGAACTTTTGTCGTAGAACGTACGTGATACCTATACTTTTATACACGCATGTATACGCACATATATACGTGGACAGTGAAAGAGAGAGAAAGGGACAGAGAGAGAGAGAGAGAGAAAGAGATAAAAAGAGAGAAAAAGAGAGAGAGAGAGAGAGAGATCAAACTCGTTCTCGTATCTCTATGCATGTATGTACGTAGCCTGTAACGGATAGAGATGGCGCCTGCGAAAAGCCTGGGTACCCGGGGTAAAACGAGCCTGGGAAGTTCATTAATGGATTAAGAGTGCTCGATCGATACGATTAGCGCAGCGTGACCAGCCATTTCGGATATACGCTACACGTATCCAAACTTAACTGAGAACCTATTATTTTAGTTAAAACGAGAAGGTACGTTACATACGCTATACTCTAAATAAAATAATAAGATCTCACATGGATCCCCAATTGTCCCGTCCTTCTACTCTTCTTTTGCCTGGCGACAAAAAAATTTAAATATTTTTTTAAATGTGGCGATTAAAAAATAAAAAAGAAAAGAAAAAACGAAAGAAGCTCTATCAGTCGTTATTCCTGATATCGATCTTGTTTGGATTGATATGAGTACCGTGTACCACGCTTTTCGTCCCCTTCGTTCTCGTATGGGGGTTGAATTTTAAAACTACCCCCTGGAGATACACGGGGCGTCTCGTCCTTCCAAATCAGGCTGCATGCGGTCCTGTTGTTGCGTAAGAAAGTACAAGTCCCTTGGGATCGCGTCTTCGATAGATCCGTTTCTCTGACGGCTCGGTTTAAACTTATAGAAAATTTTCGACTACTTTCACTACTCCCCCTCTAACATTTTTTATTTCTATTTTTTATTTTTCTCCTTCTTGTGTATGAAATTTGTTTTATACGATATATGATGCGATAAAAGAATACTGTATGATGACATTGTATGATGAATTACCAAGAACAAATGTAAAAAAAAAAAAGAGAAAGAGAGAGAGAGGAATGAGAGGACAATGAAAAAATTTCCTCAAGAAAATACCTCAAGGGGGTTTAACCTGGACACACAGTTTTTATGAGTTTAGCGTCGATATCCCGGAGCTCGTCGACGTCTACCTCGGAGGTAGAAAGCTCGAAGCTCGTTGCTTAGTGACCTCGTAGATTAAAGAGGAGTAGCAAGTAGGAGTAGGTAGGTGGATAGTAGGAAGGTAGTACGTCGGTCCCAAGCGACCCTTTACGCCCTGCCACCTTTCTACCGTTGGAACTATGCGATCTCGAGCCAGTAAAACGAGCAGGACGAAGAAGTTAAGGGCTGAGGAAGGCTCGTGCCAACGACGAGGGAAGGGATCGAAGGGTCGAAGGAACGCGAAGGAAAGGTGGTAAGACTCACGGTAGCCTGGTGGTTGTTCGGAGGTTTCAAGGTGGAACACTGCA